CGCCTGCAAAAAGGAAGCACAAAGGCCCTATTGATTACAAGAAAACAAGGAAGCTCTGGGGAATACCCGAGCGAGCCTGGAGGGTACGAAAAACTCTGGTATGAAATCAAAAGTGATTTAGAAATTCATGGCAGCTTCAAAATCTGGAGGATACAGAAGAGCTTAATTTACATGTTTACATAAAGTTATTAAAAGTGAGATTTATGATTCAAGGAGGAAAAAGTACAAAATACACCCAAACTAAGTAAAAAATTAGAAACCAAATTTAAGCGCAATAATTCATAGGAAGAAAATAATACTAAATGCTAGCTTTAAAAAATTGATAAATACATCTTTGGCATTCTAATCAAGAATAGAACAGTAATAAGTCCCATCCCTCTTCCAAAAGAAATTAAAAGCAAAAAATGAACTTCACCCTCAACGGGACGGGTACAAGTAAAGAAGTGAAATAACTTGATGAGCATTTGCAGATTGGGGTCCTCACCTCCTGCTGGTAGGAAGTAAAATGGTACAGTCACTTTGGGAAACAGGACAGAGTTAACAACTGAGTAACTCCACTCCTGGCCCCCCCCAAATGAAAACTTACATCCATACACAAACTTGTATGTACTCAAATGTTTGTAACAGCAGTATTAATAGCCTAAAGGTGGAAACAACTTGAATGTCCGCCAACAGATCAGTGGATAAACCAAATGTGGACTCTTATTTATTCTGTGTAAGCAAGAAGTACTCATGGATGCTGAAACGTGGGTGCACCTTTAAAACACTAAGATAAGCAAATGAAGCCGCTCACCAAAGAACAGACAATCCCAATCATCTGAATGTCCAAAAGAGGGAAACCCACAGAGGAAATAGACTAGTGGCGGCTTAGATCTGGGAGGGGCAGGTGGTGGTGGTGGTGGTATAGGGACCTTTGGAGCCAACGAAGACCTGCCCCTCCCTATGGGCTTCTGAGGGTTTGAGTCTTGAGGAGAGCAGAAAGCCTCATCTTCCTCCCTCAGAGTGGCTGGTGAGTTTTAAACTCTGGTACATACACACAGTGGAATACCAGGCACTGCTAACGCAAATGTCAAAATTATGTTTTTCATGGCTTGGATAGACCCGGAGATTTGTCCTGAGTGAAATTAACCAATCAAAAGGGGGGAAATGTTATATGAGACCATCATTAGAAGGGGACAAAACCAAGATTGACTTTCATACCAAAGGGCACACTTTGGGGACTGTCAAAGTGGGGGGTGGCAAGGAAGATAAAAGTCACGGGCTAGGCGAGGGATCAGCCAACTCTCGAGATGGAAATCCTATCCCGCACAACAATCTAAAGATTAGTCAAGAGCCATAAATATGCTTTTACAAACAAATGACACCACCACTATTTGAATAATAGCCTTTAAAGTTCTATCAACGAAACTGATTATTTTTATTTTCACTTTTACTTCAGAGCCACAAGTACAAACTAAAAGAGGTGCACATGGCTCTTGAGCCGCAGTTTGCTGACCCCTGGATGGGAGATTACTTGGTTGAACTGGAAGATGGTAGTCCAGGAGAGGGAGAAGAGAGGTCAAAGAGTGGGTGAATGAATGGGGTGGGGAACTGGTTAGTAGCTTAAGCTGGTGAATATGAATTTTATAATCTGAAATGTAAACCCCTAATTTACAATGGAACATTTTTTGTTTTAAAAAAGAAGTATGGCTCAGGATTAAATTCAGCTTGCAATTAAATGCAAATTAAAAAAAAAATCAACCAAACACCAATCTAAATCCCAAGAGAATTTCTCCTCCTACCCCCACCCCCACCCCTCCCGCCACCTCCTGGCATGTTAGTAAATAAAACATGGATACAGTTTTAAAAACAATCTGTGAAACAGAACAATTGGGCAGCCACCTTATCAGGTGTAATAAAAAGCTGTAATAACCTCACGGTTTCAGTAGCAGAAGTCATACGAGACTCCTAGGTGCCACTCAGTGGGGAGCTGGAAACAGGCCTGGTTGTACAGGGAGGAAGGAGGTAGGGCAAGTGTTGCTAAGGCTCCGAGACACTGAATTGTGAGGTACCCGGTACAGCTCCAGTGGAGAGATGGGCAGACAGCAGGACGCATGGAGCTGGAGGGTAAGGGAGTGGTCTGGGCTAGAAAGGTACTTGGGACTCATCCGTACATGGCATTTGAAACCAGGGGATGCCACTGAACCTGCGACAAGCTGTTCACTGCTTTCTTCCTACAAAGCGATACAGTTCCGCTCTGCACACTATTTCCTAAATTCGCCCACATTTCTGTCCTCCATCAGAGGAAGCAGAGGCCCACGGGGAGCAGACTCATCCCATCCCTTCTTGCGTGAGTCCTACACTGGGGACACTTTCCTCTTCAGAGTGATTTTTTTTTAACAGTTTTATTAGCACTTCTTCCACAGGTCATACAATTCAATGATTCAATCATATCAAGAAGAGTTGTACAATTATCACTACATTCAATTCTAGAACACTTACTTCTTCCTTATACTCATTGTTATACACATAATTACTTTTTTCTCAAATTATGGTAAAAAAAATACACAACAAAACATTCTCTAGTTCCACAACTACTACATGTATAATTCAGTGCCCCTTCAGAATTTTTTTAGAAGTTCTTTTGGCACATAATATACAGTTCAATTCTATCAAGAAGAGCTGTACAATCATAGCCACAATTTTAAAACATCTTTTTTGTCTGTTATAAGCTCACCACCACCACCAACCTCCCCACCAGACCCCCAAGATTTACCTATCCTGGATTTCATAGATAGAAACCACAACAAACTAACATTAACAAACTGAAACAAAAGAAAACCTCAATTGAAAAGGAAGTAGGAAATAATAAAAATTAGAAAATAATTTTAAATGAGTCAAAGGGGAGATCAAATGAGACCCTCAGTCGAGGGCACACATGAGAACTGTACACTCACACATGCCTCCCCCCCACCCAACACATGGCCGAACGTACCACACAAAATTGCACGTCTATCATCCAACAATCTGAGTTAGGAAACCAAAACTGTTGCCACCACCATTTATTGATCTTATTGATCTAGTTTATAACTAAGTGGCGAGCACGAGAGCCCTGCCAGGGATGCCAAGGCAGCCCTGCCCTTCCGGCTTACAATCTCATCAGGGAAGTGCAACAGGCACGTAACACACTGGAGAGTCAGGGAGCATGGTAGACAGACAGATGCCACGATTCGGAAGGCAACACAGCTGCAGAACAGCAGATGGGCAGCCCCTTAACTCAGGTTCTGTTCCCAACCCAGGAAGTCATTCCACCCCCCGAGTTGATTACCTCATCTGCAAAATGGAGTGCAATTGAGAGGCTGTCTGCGTTCCTTGGCCTAAAACATCATGACACTGGCCCACAAGCTGGCATTTCCGTGAAAAGGGTGGCCCAAGTGGTCCACTGCAGGCAGGCTGCAGGAAGCTTCGGGAAGAAGCGCAGTTCTGAGGTAGGACTAAGCAGGGGCTGGCAGTGAAAACAGATGGGCGCTGTCAGGCATGCTGGCCGTGGGTCACACAGAGTGGCAGCCTTCACAGACCCCCAAGCTGGGGGAACGGCGTACCTCACTCTGACACCTGGTCAGTGACAGAACATGATTCCAGAGAACAGAAAATATCAGAGCTACAGCAGCACCTTACAAAATACTCCACCTAATTTCCAGAAAAATAAACAATTTAGCATTATACCTATACATTACAAAAGTGATGTCAATAAACCACCCAATGATCAAAATGTAAAAACAATTCTGTCTGCATTCTCAGTAAACAGGACTCTAAATCTCTTCATTCAAAAGACCGTGTGGTGCAGATCAGATTATACCAACTGCTCCCACACTTCATTTTCTGCTATCTTCTCGGCTCGGGGGAAAGAAAATTGTCGAGGACAAGACTGAGTGCGTACAGCCTGGTCGATGAGACAGACGTCAACTCCGTGTGCCTACAATGCGCTGTGACTGAGGTCTGAGCATGCTGTGCTGTAAAGAAGCCTTCCTTCCTTCCCAGGGAACTCTGGCACAGCCTCCAGAGGAACGAGGAACGGTCCCGCAGAACGGAGTCTGGGAGGAAGGGCCAGGGAGGGGGGGAGAGCTCTGGATACAGTGTGGCCGGAGCTGAGTGCTGACCACATTGGCTAGTGAGAGACCCTGGGCTTGTCCTGCAAGAGGGAGATGCTGTTGTGTTAGGCTTTCTCTTTAACGGCCTGTGAGCACTGGGTCTGATGGGCAGAGAGGATGTGAGTGATGGGTGTGTGTGCAGTCATTATAAACGGTTTCAGTTGATATCCGTGCTCAGAAGCACCCCGCCTCCCTCCCTTTCCCTTCCCGCACCCCCCAGGCTTTCCCTTCTTCAAAAGCGAACTGGGGTCAGAGAGGCTGGGGGTGAAACTGACAACAAAACTAGAAACACACAGAAGCTCAGTGAAATCATGAGGAGATGGCAACTGTGTTCCAGGTTTTCTGAAGTGCCTAAATTCACACCCAAATGTTGAGATTTTATTCAGCATGGTAAAAACTGTACCCCCCCCCTCCCCCTCCACAGTCATGTCCCCCAACTGCACCCATCCCCCGCACATGCATAATGCACACTGGAAGCAGGACCATGAGGGGAACTCAGTTTGCAAACCCGTATGCAGTGGGCATTACCTGCGAGAAAGCACATGGAAGAGCCCGGTGGAATACGCCATTCCCGACCCCGGTCTCCGTTAAGTATCAGCATCGCAGATAACCACCACAGGGTTTCAGGTCTTCCCTTCGCACTATGAAGATCAGACCAAAATTGCACTGCTTAGCTTACACATAGAAAAGATAACAGCACGTAGCATCAAGTCTCAGGTGCTCTGCTACGACCCGCAAGGCAGTGCAGGCCCTGGGGAAGAGCAGGCAGTGACAGGCAGCCCTCCCCCTCCGGCTCGGCCGATGCGGCAGTTCATTGTTCCTTAGCGGCTTTACAAACCAGTGGCAGAAAAGTCACAACTTCTTCCAATGTCAGTTTATCATGAAGAAAATAAATCTGTGTCATTTTATTCAAGATACATTCTTTTTAAGTTACAGTTCTGTCCCAACAATTTGCTTCTAATGAGGGAAACCTTAATATAATCTTAAAAACATGCATATACACTTAGTAGGATCTCTACATTTCTAAATAAATTACATGCATGACAGACCTTAACCAGTAAAGAATGCCAATATAAGAATCCAGGACACTTGTTTTTCTGTATGGAGCTACAGCTACTGTACCACACACCCACAAAACAAAGCCACAGGGCCACAGCGTGGAATAGGGAGGGAGACACGTGAGCATATACAAAATGCCTGTGAACAGGCCTTGTTGATTTTTAGGGAACAAAATGGCTTCCGTCCTTGACACCTTTCTCGCTCACCTAGCACCACAGATGCAAGGACGTAAGTAAACACGTACAAGCTCATGCTTGAAAAGGGAAGCATGCATTGGAAAGTTTACACGTGTTCTACTCTACGTAACTAGGCCACGCGCACTTCTTTGTAGCACATAGTTCATACATTAAATTACCCTGCAGCATTTTGAAATTTTAACATTTCTGCAAAACAACTTTTGAAAGACTTGAGAAGAAACAGGTGTCGCTGTGTCCCCTCCCGGCGGGTCACGCAGGCGTTGGTTTGGTTAAGTGGGGAATGGCCGTAGCCGCAAGGCTCAGATGGAAGGGCAATGGGGTATGTGCGTGGTCAATCCAGGTAAAAATACATAAGTACACAGATGGCACAAAGGCGTGTGCAGTTGGAATCACCAGTGCAAATGCATGCATTTGAGGTACTGTCCCCCCCCACCCCATGGTCAGGTATAATTATGCATAGTCATTTTCCTTAAGTGCTTTAGAGATTTTTCAGACCTGATCAAATGAAAACTTGTGACAAGTGAAAATATGGAATAGTGATAAGATTTTTAATTTCAAAGAACTATGCTTACTAACAAGCATTTGTTTAACATTATATAGGTTTACACCTTTAGTGGAAAATATTCACCAAGCAATAGAAGACTGACTGGTAATTATACCTGGCCAAGTGATTTGAATATCATACTTGAAATTCTAGCAAGAACAGAAGTGAAAAAGGAAAATACTTCTTCATTATTGCTTTGTTGGACTGAGAAACCCACAGGCAGCTACACAATGTCAATGCTGAAGAGTGAATGTGCCCAGAACAGCGGTGCGTGCCCCCACGTGGCCTCTGCGCGGGGCAGGCTAAGCGTTCTCTGCACTGTTGATGCCGTTGGCATCCAGGCGGATATCAGGCTCCCCACACAAAGAGGAGGGGGCAAAGTGGCTAAGAGTGGGGCACAGACAGCTCTTAAGCTCTGGTAATTCTTGCTTCAGGCGCTCCAACTGCTCCACTTGGAATATATTTGGCTGTTCAGGCATCCAATCATATATCCTACGACGAAACAAACACAGAACACATAAAATGGCAGAATCTATCATTTCTTTGGAAACTGCTCACTTAACCCTTTCCGGAGGATTTACAGAACACTGGAACACCTATAGTAGGCAAGAGAGAAATTGAGATGGAAGGATGGACCAGTTTCTGTTTTAAAACACTTCTCTCCTGCCTCATCTTTCCATGAATCCAGAATAATAGTACTCTCCTGAGCATCCTGAGAAGACGAGCTGGATAGAAAGTAATCGAATCAGGAAATGCAATCTGCCAAAGTGAGCAACGCTTGATTTCACAGCTGGCAACACCTAAGAGGTTAGGCATCTTGCCTGAAACGCGGTGCTGTTACGTTCACACAGCGTCTACCAGTGGAGGCTCCTAAGCCCACAGTGGCGAGGCCTCGACCAGCAGGACCAGAGTTACCCAAAAGCCACAGCGTGCGGCACATGGGTCCGGGTCCACAGCAGGGGCCCGCCGGGCTGCCAGCTGCCTGACTGCTGGCCGATCGGGCACCGCACCCAGCAGAGAAAGGATACACTTTCATCGAACATGTAAGAGTCCCGAGGGAAAATTTAATAAGGTCCACAACACGGTTTTTGGGATCACACCAGAGAAGACTTTCTTAGATAAAACAGTCTTAGATAAAACAGAAAAATGAGGAGACGATAAAATGAAGAAGTATTTTGTACACTTTCCCTTAAATGCAAAGGCAGGCTAAAGGGGCTATTCAGTGCCGAGCACAATGGGCAAAACTAGACCTACAACAAACTCCATCTCTGTGTGATGGCCAGACGATACTGACGTCAAACTCTCCGACTGTCCCCAAAGAAGGAACAAAGAAACCAAATCATAAGAGAAGGAACAGAAACCACAATGGCTTCAGACCTTCCAAGAACAATGGAATTGTGAAAATGAAGGAGAAATGCTTCTAACGCTCTAAAGGACGATGGTAGGTAACACTGACTTCTATGGTCAGCTAGGAGGTTTTTAAACATGCAAGAACTCACACACATTTATGTCCCATGCTCTTCTACCTGGAAAAGGATGCTGCAGGACGTACTCCTTGAAGATGATAGTAAACCAGGAGAGAACATGGTATAAAAAACAAGATGGTACAAAAACTGGTGTTAAATAAAAAAACAAGAGAGAAAACCGTATGAGAAACAGGAGCTCTGGCGCAGGCATCCAGGGAGTGAAAAGAGGTACTGCTCAGGGCTCTGCCTCCAACGAGGCTGCTGGGTCCTACCCACCGTGTGAGCAGGGTCTGACTTCCACAGGGCTTCTCTGAGCCCTGTGCCGATTAGGCTTCCCTTACACCCGAGGAGGAGGAGGTCTGGCTTAGCAGGATGGGCTTAGCACCTGAAAGACTGTGTTGTCCATCTTCCTGAGGTGTGCCCAGTGTCTGACCCGAGGCACATGGACGTCTAGTTGTGCCAAGCCAGAAGAAACCTAATGGGTCATAAAATGAATTCAGAAGGTTCAGACCCGCGTCCAGAAGGTATGCACACGTAGTGGCTGGGGGTATTAGGGTGTTATTTTTAAAATTTGGTGCTCCAGGCACATACTTACAAAGTTATGTATACTAGGTGGTGCGATAGAATAGATTTCTGACTGAGTTGGGGACAAAAAAATCAAAAACACTGTGCTGGAGAAACTTTACATTTGTCCTCCAGGTTGCAGTTGGCCGTGCTCATAGCAGCACTGTGGCAATAGCAAGCATCTCCATGGTCAACAAGCCAAATGTCCTTGAAACAGCAGAGCACATGGCCACAGAAACAAATGGTGAAATCCATACAGCCGTGAGAACCAACAAACCACAGCCACCTGCAACGATGTGGCGTCAACATGACCAGTGGGGGAAAATAGTGTCCCTCAATTTTAAATGTCAAACTAAATAGTGTATCACTTAGGGATAGAAATAGATAAAATTTTTAAAAACCCAGAATGAAAATGTAATAAGCAGTTATGCCCACAGGGCGAAAGCAGAGAGCAGGAGAGAGACGGGCACACCAGGACTTCAACTCTTGAGGATGTGGGTGGTCTTAAACTCCGTCTTAGTCACTTACACCCAAAATTCAAGAGGAAACATTATTCAGCTTACTCTATGAGGGCAGAATGATTCCCATACCAAAACTAGGCATGAGTCTTTTGAGAGAGATAAATTAATGGCTTATCTTACTCATCCTGATTGACTAAAAAAATCCTAGACAAAAGATTAACACATTAAACTTGGCTTTGGGAAAAGGGTGAATGTTTACTCACAAAGCCATGGCTAATTATAATCTGCTGTGTTTTCATTTAATGCCTTCAGAGATGAAGAAAATTGGTTTTTGAAAGGGAAATCACTCACTCTTCACACTTCTCCTCCATTCAAAATGTCTCAAGTCAATAACTGCTCCAATCATTCCGCCCAACGTCAAAACATGATCATGAAAAAATAGAAGCAGACTATTTAGAAATATAAAGGTAATTGTCAAAAGAAATAGTCTTTTTAAAAATTGGGGGACAGGGACTCAGTCAGAGGCAATAGAAGGGATAGGTACAGGGAACAGAGAACATTTTTTTCCCCCATTATAAGCCTGGTAGGATGATCTGAATTTTTAAACTATGTACATATACCTTTAAAATTCTAAGTTAAGAAAAAAGGCAAACCAAAATCTGGGTACAAAAAAAATCAACTCTAACACAATCCACCTTACTTGTCTCACTAGACCCTGAAGGAGCCCGTTACCAAATCTTCAGCAAGCAGTCCTGCCCTGACTCATGTGCTTGTCTCAGCCTAAAAACCCCAAAAGGCAAAGTTAAGTCCCCTAACCTGCAGCTCACAGGAAACCTGGTGCCACAAGCAATGTGCTACTCCCTGAGCTGCAAGGCCAAGGTCAGTAGCTCCACTCCACCCATGAGTAAGATGAGGTTTTCCTCCACTGGAGAAAGATGAAGCTTTCTGCTCCCAATAACATGTCCAGTCTCAGAAACCCAAAGGAGCAGTGCACAGTCGCTATGAGTGTCAAAACCTACTCGCTGGCACGTGAGAGTTCTTCTTTAAAAGAATTCTCTCCTCACCACCTGTCACCTCACACACGGTCCTCCAGCGGGCTTCAATCAAGCCAGTCCCTTGAGATAAAGGATCTGACTGGAATCTCTACATCCCACAAAGCTGCCCACACATGGTCTCAGCATACTCTTTTTATCTGAAAACACTTGTAATAGTTCCCCTCCAGTTCGAAGAAAATGGGCTTTTCAAAACTTTGCTAAACCTAGTACTTCCTTGAAGTCTGGTTTTAATTATACTTAATTCATGAGGCAACGGCTATTAAAGAGTTAAGAATCATGCTGTTTGATGCAAATTTAACAAAGAGTTAAAATAGAAAAAGGAAGACACAAGAGCAGGCAGGCAGGCAGGCTGGCAGGCAGGCAGGCATTAAGTAGGCTGTAATTTAAAAACCAGATTAATTCAGACAAAATCGAGAAAAAGTTTTATTTTAAAAAAGTGATGACTCTATAAAATGAACTAAAATCCAAGGAAAGTATTAAAAAAAAACCCAAAAAACACAGGCCTGGTGGGTGCACTTACTCTTTCCTGCTGGTGCTCAAGTATTAGCAAGCCCTGAAATCCTGCAGCAAAGTAAACGACAGTACTCGTCACCCCAAAGCCCTTTAAACTGTGCAGACTGAGAGGTTTTCAATTTTACATTATAAATCACAGAAGATTACTTTAGAAGCCATAAAACATGTATTCACTAAGTCTCTGAGCAACTCCTGTGTTACAGACACTATTAAGATATACAGCAAAAAGCCTTGTTCCCCGAGGGCTTATGTGTGGGGTGTGTACTTGGGCAAAGGAGCCTGGGGAACAACTAAAGAGTAAAATATAAGATGCATAGGCTCTGGATCAGACGGTGGTGACAAGTGCGAGGGGGAAACAGTAAGGAAGTGGCTGGTGGGTGAAAAGGTGAACAGTGAGGTGGGCAGGGGGTGCACCAGGGAAGCCACTGGAGAAAGGTCAGAGAAGAGGGTTAGGAGGTGGTGGGGGCTCAACAGGGACAGCTCATATTGGGCCTTGAAGGGATGCCAAATGACACAGAAAATCACGAGAGGTTTGGAAGCGATAACATGGCTAGACTTTGGACTGAGAAACTGGCAAGTTGGAACTGTCATTTACACGGAAATCAGAAACGCTGGGGGAACAGATGCCAGCAGCTGGACAGAAGTCTGGAGGTCGGAGGTAAGGTCTGAGTTGAAGAAAATAGATATTTGAGAATTCTGTCCACGATTTGGGTCTGATCACCAAGAAAATCTGCAGAGATAGTGACGAAGTCTGGGCAGTTCCCTGCTACCCCCACCCCCACCCCAAGATGACCTAGTACATCTGGGTTAGTGCCTAGTCATCAGAAGTTTCACTTGGCTTCCCTTGTGATTCTGGTATTCTTTAAAGTTTGAAATAAAAATTTAAAAATCCAAACAAACACTGACAAACAAATGTCAACATAAGCCTCTGGATGAACTACAAAATTTTAATTCAACTAAGTCTAATTTTATTTATAATTTCGTAAGATGAAAGCTACTTTTTCCTTATCACTCCATGGAAATTTTTCATGGAAAACAGATACCTATCATAAATTAGACCATTCACTCCAAATTCCTTCAACCTCCTTCTGTTTTCAGGATCGTTGGTGTCATCTCCCCAGCAGAAGATGACCAGTCCTTTTGCTTTTGCCTCTTGGACATAGGACGGGTTTCTGAGCAGGTCTTCAGTGTGCGCGTTAATCCCCTACAAGGAGAAAAATCACTTGTCATGAAAAAGGGACTTATTGAAGGTTAAATGCTAAGTGGTCATGCTCTACTAGATTAGTGCTCTCCAAATTAGAATAGGCCGGGAAAGAAAATGCTAGACTTTATGATTTTATCTCACCATTAAAAAATTCCTTTGGGAGTGTCTACTTCTCACATATATATTCTGGCCAGTAATGTTTATTCACCAAGTCTCTGAGCAACTCCTGCATTACAGACACTGTTAAGACACACCAGGCATACAGCAAAGAGCCTTGCCCCCAAGAAGCTTACATGTGGGGTGTATACTTGATCATATATGTAGCATTCAGGTATTAGAAGTGTGTGCTCAAAAAACATTTACTGATGGAATGCTCTATCAAACAAATTAGAGTCTGATTGTTTTAGACAAGTCATAAATCCACTCACAAAACTACACAATGTATCCCTAAAAGAAAATGTTTCACTTTGCTCATTTAACTGGCAGGTTCACAAACTTGTTTGGCCAACCACTCCCTTTTCAGGAAACAAAAATTACTGAATTGCCCACTAAACAATGAAAACCTTGTGTACTGTAGCCTATAATCCAGGATAAAGTGTAGGTATCTGCTTTTGCAACTCCCACCCCACCCCAAATGTGTCAGCACCACCGGGGGTAGAATGGCCCACTTTTGGAAACACTGATTTAATGGTTTTTCTCATTTTTCTCACTTTGCAGTAAAGCCAATTGCTGGTTGACACACTTAACAACTAGTTGTCCAAAGTAAGGCAAAATCTTTCTTACGACTTCTGTATGACCTAAAAATGCAAACATAACTTACTAGTAGATTTTCAAACTGTGCAAAGCTCATTGCAATTGGAGTTGTCCGAGATCTGAGGTCCATGAGTTCAGGGTAAATGTCAGATTTTCCTTGAGTCAAAAATAATATGGGATACTTGTTCTGTTTTTGCCTAACCCTTAAAAAAAAAAGTCCATTTAAGAGATTGATTTCAACGCTGGGATACAGTAATATATCTGGCTTTGAAAATTATGAAAACATGTATAAAGGAATCAACCAACCACCAAGCAAAACAGCATGATCTCATGGCTCACACACCATCATCAACAGGCTTTTCAAAACAAACCTTTCAGCTGATGCATCACAAAGGCTAAGATACACTTTTAGGTGAGCAATATGAAAGCCTCTGAGGGCTCCACATGGGGTAAGGAGGTTTTACATGCCTGTAGGAAACACAGACTTTGAGGTTCAGGGGCCTAGTGGGCAATGGTATGGTGTTCCAGCCAGCAATGATGATAGGAAATGAAGAGAGAGGACACATCGTGTCCTGGCAGCCTTCTAAGCACATAGGGGAAAACACTGTGTATTACTTACATTGTGCAAATATCTGCATCAAATGAAGAGAACACTATTCTCCTCTTCCCAGAATTTTCTAGAACAGTTTTTAAAATTATATCCAGAAACAGGTTCATGTCGAAATATGTTGATAGGTTGCCATCCCATATTCCGTCCTATGTAAAATAAAGAGAAAAATGAAACCGATTACACACCCTAAAATCAAGTGCTAGAAAAAAATGCCCCACCCACCCACCCCAAATTTGAGTATGTCTAGTCCAACCCTTTTTAGTTTGCACACGATGAAACCAAAGACCCGGAGGATGAAATCACCTCCCACCACCATACAGCCTTGCGTGATAGAGCAATGATGGTACTTGAGTTTTAGCGAATCTTCAGAGACAAAGCAATGAGGTAGGCCACTAGTAGACTTCCATTTTAAGGTTAATAAATAAAAGCCCAAAGTCTGCAAATCTGTAGTCCACTGTGATTTTGTTATTTTCATATGATTTTTAATACTCCATAGCACAAGGAATCTACTTCATTTCAATAATACACTAATACAAAACCCCATTAATTTTAAGGAGGCATGGTGGCACAGCAGTTAATCACTCAGGACTAATGGAAAGGCTGGCAGCTTGAACCCAAGTAGCAGTGGACTATTACTTCAAAATCTCTGGTGTTGGACATATATATATAATATCCTCAACAGATAAACAAGCGGCTATCTAGCTGAAAAGTAACCAAGCCCACATGGGAGAAGCACACCAGCCTGTGTGATCATGAGGTGTCAATGGGATCAGGTATCAGGCATCAAAGACCCAGAACAAAAAATCCTATCAATGTGAATGAGGGGGAGTGTTGAGTGGAGACCCAAAGCCTAAATATCTGTAGACAATTGGACATCCCCTCACAGAACAAGAAGGAGACGAGCCAGTCAGGGTGCAGTGCAGCACCGATGAACCATACAACTTTCCTCTGGTTCTTCAATGCTTCCTCCCCAACTCCCTCCAATTTTAATGACCCCAATTCTACCTTACAAATCCAGCTAGACCAGAGGATGTACACTGGTACAGATAAGAGCTGGAAACACAGGGAATTCAGGATAGATAAACCCCTCAGGACCAATAAAGAGAGCAATGATACCAGGAGGGTAAGGGGAAGTTGGGGGAACCGATCACAATGGTCTACATATAAGCCCCTCCCATGGGGAACGAACAACAGAAAAATGGGTGAAGGGCGACAGTGGTTGGTTTAAGACATGAAAAAAATTTTTTCTAATAAATTATCAAGGGCTCATGAGGTGGGAGAAGGGGAACAAGGGCTCAAGTAGAAAGAAAATGTTTTGGAAATGATGGCAACAGATGTCCAAATGTACTTGACACACTGGATGTATGGATGGATTGTGGTAAAAGCTGTACGAGCTCCCAATAAAATGATTTTTTAAAATCCTCAACAAAGAATTAAAGCAATTCAACAAATATAAGATAACCAAGAGCCTTTCTGATACACAAATAGAATAAACCACCACCTATTAGGAAAACCTTTGTAGATCAGTTAACTACATTAACAAGGACCAGCTTTTCCCAAACAGATATGCTGACCAGAACCTCTTATAATGACACCTAAATTAACCATTCCTAACGGCCACTTCCCCTAGTCATTTTCACTCATCACCACCTACCACACCAAAGCAAGGTAACCGTTATTTTGACAGGCAGGTGCCTTAATCTGTTTTGTTCATTACTTTCCCAAACACTAGAAAACTGCCTGCTCATGGCAGCTTTTCAATAATAGGTTTTTGAGTGAATGATTAATTCTGGGACTGATTTCAAATACTTAAACCCAAACCCCTTTTCCTGGGTTATGATCATTAGCTGGAACCACCCCACAGAGACTGCTTAGGCAATCACCTAAAAAGAGATGGCTTGCTCTGGTGTAAAGCATGCTAAGTATGCCTAGAAACCAGTCGTGATATTAATGAGCCTATGAGGTACTTGTAAAGGGAAATTTCTACAATAATTCAGTAACTATTAATTTTAAGAAAAGAACTCACATTTTAGTAAATGGATAAGGTAAGCTTTGTTAAAAAGGTCCAAAGTGCCCTGTGGTTGCTGGAGGTAGAGCAGTTACATTTTGACAGACTCCATTAAAACAAAAAAATAGTAACAAAAGAACTTTCAAAACAAATCAAACAATTGGGGTGGGGAGCGGGGA